TTACCATTTAATCAGTGAGTTTGAATGAACGGGCCACCTCGACCGTTTTCGATACATTGTTTAAATGTGTCACACACATTGAACGTTGTTTATTTCAAAGAATCCGTGAGTATGGCATCGTCATGCATGGCCTTTCATCTCAAAACTATTTATTACTATTACCAATACACCTGGTTGAAATTCCTGTCTGAATCGTGACACAATCTGCTTTTGTAATTGTTTGTTCTGGTATTCATTGTAAAACATAGGACATTTTCTTCATAGCCTGTACTCGTGTGAATAGTATTCTGATTGAGCTTAACCGCAGAACAGTTTGTAGTGTGTAGTGATCTAAAGGAGCGCATCAAGACTATACCCAGAATAAAGGAATACCACATCGCCAATACACAAGGAAAAGATTTTAACTTAAGGTGAACATAGAAAGAAAACCCAGTGTTCTTACCGATCCTATACAATTTCTTCGATGTCAATATAGGAAAAGTACCCTTGTATGGGGGAAATATACTTGTATGGGAGAAATATGGAAGAAAAACACTTGTATGGGAGAAATATGGGAGAAAAACACTTGTATGGGAGAAATATGGGAGAAAAAACACCTGTTTGGGAGTAAAATAGGAGAAATACACTTGTATGGGAGAAAAATGGAAGAAATACACTTGTATGGGAGAAATATGGGAGAAAAACACTTGTATGGGAGAAATATGGGAGAAAAACACTTGTATGGGAGTAAAATAGGAGAAATACACTCGTATGGGAGAAAAATGGGAGAAATACTCTGGTATGGGGGGAAAATGGGAGAAATACACTCGTATGGGAGAAAAATGGGAGAAATACTCTGGTATGGGGGGAAAATGGGAGAAATACACTTGCATTTGAAGGGGAGAAACATGTGAGAAATGCACTTGTATAGGAGAATTATGGGAGAAACGCGGTTGTTTGGGAGAAACATTGGAGAAATACACTTGTATGGAAAAATACAGGAGAAATACATTTGTATTAAGAAATATAGGAAAAATACACTTGTATGGAGAAACATGGGAGAATTGCACTTCTATCTATTTGTGTATTTATCCCCATTATTTGATGACCTTTGGTTTATTGGCTTAACATTTATATTCTTGTTATATAATTAAGAAGAACAGATCATCATAACGGCAGGCTATCCTTGATTTTTTGTCGTTGATTTAACACAATGGTTGTTCTTCTTGTATTGTTATTTTGAAATTTTGTGACAATTTCCTTTTTGTTTGTGTTGATATGGATCGGTCGTACCGCGTCATCTTTTGTATTTTTGTGGTAAGATTTAATAGCAAAACCTATTTTGCTGGAGAAATGTATGTTAATTAAGTGGGGTCAGAGTAAGATGAACTTCAACTACAATGCATATATATCAATTCTGCATTTGATACTAGTATAATGTACAAAAACGATGAAACTAAAGGACGAATGTAACACACACACACTGCTGTATTTACCTGTAAAATTTGTTAATTGACACAGTATGCCAAAAAATGAATTACATTACAACACTTCATCCTTAACGGACTAATCGATGATGCTAGGAGCCAACACGTACTGTTGAAACAGAAGGGAGAGGTGCGTTAGTCCCTCTATTTATGAATTTCAAAAGTTCGAGGAGTACGGGTTAGTTTCAAATTAAATAATTGGTAAAGTTTTTTATGTTGACAATCTGAGCTAGCAGATGGTAAAACTTTACATAATCTCCTACAACTTTAATTTCTTTTGAAAATAATCAGGCTTTCGACACTTTCTGTAACATTCATCTGTATAGAGTAAATCTTGTTGATATTCCAGTTTGTAATTGTGGCCATCCCTGTGAAAATACCACTTTTTTTATTGTGAGTGCTTACTTTTTAACGACGAAAGACACATCCTTCTCCAAAATTTGAATGCCTTGCCTGTTGATTTTGATTTAGAACTACTTTTGTTTGGTAATACTCAACTTTCGGTAGAAATCATTACAATTTCTTTTTAGAAAAGTGAATCATTACATCAAATCCAGCAATAGGTTTGATAATTATAATTATCTTTCCTTATTTCTATTTATTTGTGTACGTTGTTCCAATGTTCCTGAAATTGCATTTCATTATTTTGCATGATTTCTTTGTTACATTGATTTTGTTCATTATAAAAATACTATACAAGGTTTCATGTCATGAAATTTCGTATAATTTATAATTTATAATTTATTCAAATGCGGATCCTTTTCACAATTTACACTATTTCTTTTCTAGGTAACCCCCCATCCCCTATCCCAACCCACCCCCTTCCCCCTCCCCACCTCCATACCCTTCCTTCTCCACCCTATCATCCTCCCCAAAAAACATATACATTTTATTTGCCATATATATTTAGAAGAGGAGTTTATTAAGCTGTAATAACTTGTTGTCCAATCCATTTGTATATTTGTACAATAAAATATCTTAAACTAAAAACATTCATCACTTGAAAAATATAAGTTGTGCATGGCAATACAAAAATTGAGAAATCACCATTCAATAATTTATTTTCTATATATGTTGATGCTAATACTATAACCTACACTCCTCGGCATATTTGATGTCAGAATTATCTTAAATAAATCTATAATTTTATTCTGCATAATAAACCGTGCATACAAATTGTTTTTAAATTTAATACATTTATCATTAGCATGTGTATGTGGCTCTCCTGAACCTTTGCTACGGTTGAGATAATGATAAAAACAAATATATACATTTTTGTTAAAAGAATCACATCTTGCCAATTATAAAAGAAAAATATACACGTTATAAACGATCGGAAACACCGTAAAGGTAGCTCTGCATTGCTATCTACAGTATAGAGTGTTATACACGATTGTCCGTGTATCTTGTTTCTTTTCATCTATTTGTTTACCTTTTTCTATCCATCATCAAATAATCCATCCAGTTATCGCCTAAATAAGTATATATTTATATAAATATTAACTTTCAGATTACCATTATATGTATATATACTGAGTATATAGGTATAACGTTATATAGATAGTTCATTAACATCCATTATTGTTCTTTCTTTAATGCCTATATATGCATTCTTGTGACCCTTGAATGATGATAACCATTAATCTAGTTCATGTTCTATCTATACTAATTATACATTCAATAGTGATAGTGCATCTTGCGCAAGAATAGGTCCTCTACATCAGCGTTCCTTGTCCGCGATGTTCTCAGCTTAATTGCTGCCTTCGGCTGTCTCTAGCCGAGGGGACTATTGGTTTTATATATAATAGCTATATTTTCAATTATAGTATATCAGTTCTATCTTCTTTTAATATGATGTATATGTACATGTAACTGTTCTGTTTCACTGTGTCTTGATAAAGGAGCGGATCGCTCCGAAAATTTGACAACCTAAACTTGTCCACACTGTTGGAATTACTTCTTTGCCACATATACTATTTTTTAGGGGTGTCTGGAAATTGGGTTTTCTGAATGACTAGGTTTTTTGTATGCTTTAAAAGTTGACATTTTCACGATGTTGAAATGTTTGCTTTGATTGCGTTGAGTTAAAGAGCGCAAATATATCCACACGTAAATAGTCATTGATGTATTACATAGATTATACATAGATAGAATACATCGGTTCCTAAATCAATGCCAACCCGAACAGTTCAACACTGCGATCAGTTTAACGTTTACCATTTACAGACGTGATAATGTCCACTTTTACAGTTTATACATGTATTTGAGCACGTTTTCGGGATCTGGAAGAATCAGTTCGCTAAGTATTAGATAATTGGTTAATGTCAAAATTGTAGGTTTTCTAAGTTCTTTAAAAAAGTAGAATTTCTGAGTGACTAGATATTTAGATTACAGAGTGTCTCAAATGTTGGAGTTTTGAGTGTGGGGAAAGTTCGTTTTTTATAGTGACATGAATGTGGATTATCTGAGTGTCTGAAAGGTAAGAGGGCTTCTGAGTGTCTGAAGGATTAGTTTTTTTCTGATTGTCTGGAGAGTAACATTAATGAGTACCTGGAAATAGTATTTGAGCATCGGTCATATGCACATCTTTACTTGTTAAGAGTGGACTTTCTAAGTGATTAGGGAGTGGGTTTTCTACAGAGTGCGTTTTTGAAAAAAAAGGGAATTGTTCTATCTGTTTTGAGTGTGTTTTTTGGGTTTTCGGAACGTCTAGAGAGTAGATTGGCTGAATGTCTGAAGAGTTGGATTCTGACTGTCTAGAAAGTGGGATTTTTGAGTATTAAAAAGTCGACTTTTTAGTGCCATGAGAGTGACTTTGTCCGAGTATCTGGATAGAAGGAATTTTAAGTGTAAAGGAGAGTAGGCTTTGTATATGTCATATGTGGGTTTATTTTCTGAGTGACCGGAGAGTTGTTTCGCTAAGTGTCCACGAAAAAGGAATTGTAATTTTCAAAAAAAATGGTGTGCTGTGTGTTAAGAGAGAGCTTTATTTTGAGTGTCTTGAGGGATGGTTTGTTCCTTGTATTTTTGGGGATTACATTTTGAGTGTCTTGAGGAATGATTTGTTTCTTGTGTTTTTGGGGATTAGATTTTGAGTGTCATGGGGAATGGTTTGTTCCTTGTGTTTTCGGGGATTAGATTTTGAGTGTCATGGGGAATGGTTTGTTCCTTGTGTTTTCGGGGATTAAATTTTGAGTGCTTATAAAGCAGGTTGTTTGGGAATCTCATGGGTTTTCTGGTGTCACGAGTTTTTATTGGTAGAAGGTAGAAGTAGCATGCGGCATTCATAAGTGTTTGTGAATGTAATAGATGCATTACATTTTTTTTTAAATATTCCTAATTACCATTAAAATCAAAAGTAAGGAAACTTACAATAAAAAAAACTTCCAAACTGATTCAGAAAATTAAGCAAAGTAATTATGTATGTATTTATATGAATCCAATCTACAAATCCATGATTGCTAAATCTTGCTATATCACATCAGCGTATAAATCTACGTTCGCAGTAACTAAAGAAACAACAACAAAAAGGTGTTAACACTTCAGGTTTTTATTTAATAAATAGAGTATATGATGTATGCATAGTTTAACCGCCTCACTGAGTCTTTATTAAGTTAGCACTTCATCATTCGGTTTTTTCACACGTGCTCAGCGTGACGCGTGCTCAACGTTACACGTGTCATTTATGACACGTATTTTACCTTACACATGTTCTTTATTACACGAGCTTAACTTTACATTTGTCTCTTGTAACACGTGATTTACGTTGCACGTGTCCACTAAAAGACGTGAAGGTAAATTCGCGTATGCGCAACATTTCATTTATCGAACACTGCATACATATTTGCTAACAGTACCTTTTAAAATGTAACATATCACATGTTCATTAAAACGCTTGTTTAACTTTACACCTATCCAACATAACCGATGTCCAACAGCAAGCACGTGCCCAACAAATATTGGTTAGCAACAACATATTTATATACTAACATCACACATGTACAATATGGTATAATATCGAACACAGCGCATGCTCAACATTGTACACAAGGTACAGAATACTCTGTCCATCATTACTTATACCGAACATAAGTTCAAAATAATGTTTAACTAACATCACACTTTAAGACCATTCCATTGGAATAACGACGCAGATTTGTAATAGCACTACATGCAATGAATGTTTTCGATCTTGCCAGGAGAAATGACACCAATCTGTAACTCATCGATGTTCTTGACATGATTGTTATTCCAAGCTTAGCGACACGGATATTCCAAGCGTAGAAGTGATCATTCCGGCAATGACAATTGCTATCTACACGTCCCCCGTCCTTGTTACCTGTCACTAGATCCTGGATCTATCAACAAAGAAAACACTTTATATAGTCACAACTAAACCTTGATATGGAATTATTTAAAACCAATTTTTATCTTTAAGACTTGCGAACGTAAGGCAGCGGTGTTACAATTGTTTTACCAATCATTCAGACTTAATGGAAACATCTAAACAAGAGTATTCGTTCACACGTCGGAAGGTCCCGTGGGATTATCGTCCACACATCGCAAAGTCCCGTGGGATTATCTATCTTCTTTATTTTTGTAATCCCTGACGTCAACAGTTTCTCCAAATCATAAAACAAGAGGCCAAATATGATATTATTTCTAGTAAGAGTTGAAGAGTTTACGGGGCTGGACTGTTATGCACAACATACGTTTTGATTATTCTATATCTTATTTCAACTTAAAGGTAACATTTATATTCAATTTCGTACCTGTCTTTTGTGACGTTGTCTGGTCTTCGTGAGACTTTTCTTTCTCGCCCAGAGATAAGTTTAAAGCCTTGCCCTGTGCACTCTCTGCTGCTGTGTTTTTGTGTGCATGTGCGATAAGTCGTTCTGTGTGTGAAGACTCGCTCATGGCAGGGGTATTTCTGTCGTCGTTTGATGCTGATGTTGATCTTCGATGAGATAAAGTTTCGCAACCTTGAACAGTCCTATTATCACTTGTGTCGGTGCTTTTATTTGATGTATTTACAAAGTCTGCAATCGACCAAATTTTTGGCTTTGGATTTATTTGATTTCTTATGTTTGATGGCACTGAGTGTGACATTCCAGTCCTGGAAACTGATTGTGTTGTCAAATATCGATGAGGTACAAATAGTGGCGATGTTTCCGCTGCCCTATTGAAGTTCAGTAACAATTGTTTTGATTGGCTCATTGGTGTAATATCCGGTTTTGGCCGGGTACATGTATCGTCGTCTGTATCGGAGATGTCTGAAAGGTCAGAGTTCGTCACTTGGATATCCTCGTCCTCTTCTACTTCACGGATGCGTCGACAATCAGCTACATTTGTGGTTCGTCGCTCTTTACCTATAAGCATCAAACAACATAGGTTTTCAACAGCATGAAGATGAAGTTATTCAAAAAGATTAACATTTTGTATCATATTTATCTGCTCTTCCTTCATATCAGTCGTTAGCAAATCAATATAATGGGTACATTTGATTTGCAATGTGTTAACTGTAAAGGCATTCGACGTAATTATATTCGCAGTTCTTATATTCCAAGTATAAACATTTCTTGTATGATAAGCGTGTTTCTTGTCCTAATCTTTACAAGGTGAAAGCCCCCATGTAATAAATTATGATACTAGATAAACAAATAACTTTCACTAAACACTTTTTGCGGTTATTCCTTTTTACCCCAAACATAGCAAAATACGAAATTCATGTATAATACCGAGCAAATAACATCGATTACGCGGTGTTTTTCAGTACGTGTGTCAAATGATAGGATTTATTGTTGTAGCATTTAAGTATCTAGATAGGGGTTGTGCATGTGGGTTTTGTCTGAACCGTCTGTGAATAAACAGAGGTTATTTGAATAAAATTAGCAAAATTAAGAAAATCGGTGAATTCTTTATTTCTTTTTTTTTAATTTATTGATTTATTGATTTTTCTCAAAATTTATCATAACGATTTGACACAATTTTATTTGGTGGGATAAATTGTATGTCAATCGCAGATGACTGTTTCATTGAAGGGCTTACAATCAATGATAGTGGGGTAGATGCTGTCGTCACGGTCCGACGATTTGGCCGGGTGACATGACACGGTCGTGTCCCCTATTATCTGTAACCCTACACACTGGAGATGATGGTCCCTAAAGATAGCTGGACACGGACACCAAACTGAGACTCGGATTCGAACGAACACACCCGTCACGCTTACACACTGACATGTTCCGTCTAAACACTAGCACGGGTAACGGAGACTATGACTCCGGACGTAATTCCAAGTAGCATGGAAGCATGATTAATATTCAATAATATGTGAAGATAAAATGATCTATGCGTCAGGTTTGATCTTGATTGAATTAATGCGTTTTACCAGTGGTATTTCAATGTAATTTAATGCACAAAACATATGTTATGCAATTTTATCCAACCGACCATTTTGTGATGCTTTAAGTGCGATAATGCGGTGCTGATCCTATTAAATATTCTGTATTAAATACAAACTCATTCGCCTGCGGAAAATCTCATGTTCGGTATTGTGGGGAGGGCCATGCCACGAGGGGATATTCCGTGTTATCAAATGATATCTTGATTTTAACACATGAAATATCAGCCGCCTTGTGTGATGGGTTCCCGTGAATACTGAAGGCTATCGCCGCGCTAGCTAGTTTGTCTGTCCCCATTTCATCTTTAGATCTTATCAACGGATTCTCTGACAATGGGCGGTTAGGATTACAACTATTAAAAATGTAAATGAATTCAAGATGGCGATCATGAATATTGCCATAATTCTCCAAAATGTATTGTGCACTGGCCAGAAATCTTCTTCAAAATTAGGGAGATGGTTTCTTGATCCGCTAGCCTTTGTGTCATTAAATGTTTATTAGTTTTACATCTGTAGTCCTGTCAGGGGTTCAGCTTACATAGATTTTTTACCTCTTGACATTTTAAATGATATTTGGGTGTCACTAACCAGAAGGATTGGTAATACACCTCGGCTGTGATAGCGAGGTGAATAGTCTGTAGTAGAGCTCGCGGTAGGGGGTAGAACTAACATTGATAAAAACAAGAATATAAAAGTCATGGCTAAACAACTTAGGTAAATACTTAATATGTAAAGATAATCAGTAAGTATACTTTTGAAAGTCATACCATTCGTGAATACTATTTATATTTTATAAATTTATTATTTGACGTCGTTTACAGAAAGTATTTAGTAATGTTAAAATCTTCACATTTTCCCCATATTTAGTAGAAATGTAGCTATTTTCCCTTAAGTGGGCATTTATGGAAGGTGTATAAATATCTCAAGTAGTCTTGTAAGAAGCTTTAACTCATATGTTTAATAATCCAAAATAAACTTTAATTTTTACATAATTTAATCTTGCTTAACAAGCATTTCCATTGGCTTAAAAAAAACGTCGGCGTTTGTAACGTCGCTTTCGCTTTCGAAAAAGTGTATTTCCACAGGGATTGTGTATAGGTGATTAAATGATAAGGATTGACTTTAATATATTTTTCATGTTATGGAGCTATAACACAAAAGACCGAAGTGTACTCTCATCATAAATCGCTTCGCGGTTTATTTAGTGTACACTCCGTTTTTTTGTGTTATACCTCCATAACATGAAAAATATACTCAAGTTAATCCTTAAATAGCACTGTAATTTGGACCAGATGCTCTGTTTATTAAAAAAAACATTTTCTAACTTTAAATTCAATCTCATATGTTTCTATCCGAATACTTGTTGCTCTTTAATATTTGTCTGTGGTTTATATTTGCGAGACAACTTTGTTGTAGAATTAAGTCAATCGTGGTTCCTGGTCAGTGCATTTGATCGCATTGCAATTGTAATAGAAAGGCTACAGGTGAAGTTCGAATATTAGGTTTCAAAAATATTTTTTTTTTTTTATTATTTTTTCAAAACGATTTCGGCTATTCAATGGTGTGTTAAATTTGATAGTGAATCCTCTAGAATTGAGTTAAAATTATTTTATAAAAATACTTTTAAGTTTTAATGATGGAATATTGCAAAGCTTATCATGAATTTTAAGTATTTATTTGATAACACTTTGTGTATAAAACTAGTAAGTGAGCCGCGTAAACATTATATAACTATAAGCAAATAATACTTTACTTGAGTCCTAATTCTATTATTAGTATATGTAAATCTAGTTTTAACGACAAGAGTTCATACACCCATGAACATTTTAAAACAAACTATGAAACCACTGTACTACTTAGTAAATATATTACATCATACATCGCAATAAAAAGCACGCTAATAATCATTATATTTAATGCATGTCGTCCATGAAGAGACATTGAGGTATACACCAACATCATTGGAAATTAAGCGATTGATTAAAAGCCTTATTGAAAGTTATGACAAGCATGATGTCAAGCTTCAGTATGGTAGAGAATTTTGTTTTTCGTTAAGTACATTTCTATTACAAATAATGTGAATCTTAGTACATGTATATGGGTTTTAAAAAGTATTTCGGGAGTGTGTTGATAGTAAGTTTCCTTTATATGACGTCCTTTGTTATATTCAAATGGAGGTATATTTACAAAAATATGGTCGGAAAAGTAGCAACTATATATTAATATGATAGGACATTAGTTCCAATAGAATTCTATTTTACGGTGATATGGTAGGTATAGTATTGTAATTCAACATATACCTGTTAGGTGAAGAGCTTTTAAGTTAATGTGCTAGGAAACGTGTTTCAATAGCAGGTCTATTTTACATTAATACGGTAGGTAAGCCGTATGACAGGGATTAAGTGTCACTCCACCAATCTGTAGGGGACGGTAAGTCTGAGCGCCTGGTAGAGCACCCCACTGCTGAAAGGCGATACACCGTAACACATATTTCAAATGTAACTTCTCTACCTGTAGGTGGTAAACATACTTTCTAAACGTCAAAGAAAGATATCATATTTTAGAGACATTAAATGTGTGTATTTCTTGTACAAAAGATGTTTATGTGAAGGACTTACAGAATGGAACCATATGCCCCACGCCTGTTTAATGAAAGGAATTAATAGTTAGGGCTTTATATGCAATGCTTTAACTGTGCTAGATGACACCTCAGTATGACAGATATTCAATTTATGCGGACATCTCCTCTGACAAGATACTTATCGCATAATTTGTTGTAATATTATATCTTGAAAGAATAATACTAGCTCGTAAAATTTATGAAACGTTTCAAGGTAGTGTGCTGGTAGTGCTACAGTGTGACGTACAAAGAGGAAATGTGCGCGATAAGATCGCCTGTCATTGGGCCCCGCGCTAGCCCTGCCGGTGAGGTGTGTACAAACGTTTATCTTCTTATTGACTATAGGTGTCCGCTTCCCTAAATAGGTGCGAGTTACTCGCGGCCTTTCATTGTTAAAAAGACACCCGTTTGATAAATCGAACTAAGCGCTCCTATTACAAATTTCTTATGTCCAAAATACATGCATTAGTGTCGTATGTCGTCGAGGCTAGTTTGCATCATCGGCTTACTATTCATTGTAGGCATCTGCTGCCCAGGTACAGCCGATCAGGCCCAGATTATAGCTTTAATTAAGCAAGTGGGCTTTCAGATTATACCACGAAACATAAATCCTTGGCCTGTATGAGTAGCAGTGACAACCTCATATGATCTTCCCAAAACATCTCTACCCCGACGTCTAGAGGCGGAAACTCTGAGCCACGACCTTTGCCAGTATCATGTTCTAGGAATCTTACTCGGTTTGCTGGAAGGTAGTGTGATGTGGATCACTCCAATTCGGTTGTTTTGTATTTAATTTTAGAAATAGATGAGATGTTAAAGGACATTAAATTGAATTTTGTTAATTTAACTATAAATATTCACGTTCCGTACCTTCATCATCAGAATCATCTGCTGTGCCTCTGTCATCAACGTCTACATCGCTGTCATCGTTGTCTTCAATATCTTTGTCCTTACTCCATCCAACTTTGCTTTCCTTTTTGAGCCTCCTTCTGGCGTTGGCGAACCACGTGCTGACCTGTGTCAGGGTCATCTTTGTTATTATGGCCAACATGATTTTCTCGCCCTTTGTGGGGTAAGGGTTCTTCCTATGTTCGTAAAGCCACGCTTTAAGTGCACTGGTCGTTTCACGTGTAGCGTTCTTCCTACGTGCAGCGTTGTTTAGGTCAAATCCACCGTAACTGTAACACACATAAACGTTGCATTTGATTATATATTGGTCATGACAAAGTACAGCATCGCCATTGCTTACGAATTCAATCAAATTAAGGTGTGTTTTTTTCCAGATTTCCTTTTTATATTACTGACATTACATCGTCATTTAAGACTCAATATGTACAGGGTCAAAGTAGTATATCAGTATTCTTATTAGCATACTTACAAAGCGCCATAAGGGTGTGTAGCCAGCATTGGATCAAAGGGGTACACCACGGGGGATTGGTGGTGAAGGTTTTTCCACAGTTCATGTGACCGGTCCACTGATAACCCCTGGGCAGCCCCATTCTTGAAGGAAAAGTTCAACATAGTGAAAATTATATAACATTAAAGATATTGCTATTGTCTATCATGGTAAAATCATATTGCAGTTTGACAATATGAGTTTTCTCACGACATTATCAAAGAGGAAAAATGCATTGTCGTATTTACTTATTTGATTATGTATTCATTATAAGTGTATGGTATACAGAGGTGCATTTGAGGTATTAGAATAACAAAGTAGAAAACAAATGCATGTGCAGTTATTGAGGTTCTTCTTTCTTCCATAAAAAAAAATAATGTTCAAGTTTCTTAATCATCCTGATATAAAACTGATTAATTCGTAAATCTGTAGCATTGCTATTGATGCATATCTTTATTTTGTGAAATGAATGAAGTATTTATAAAAGTTTGATAAGAAATAATGTTATTACATCTCAATATGGAAGATTTGCTTTAAATTACATATGGAAGTTTTGTTTAGATATCATGTCATATACAATGTTTCTGATATTTTTCTATATTTGAATTATAGTAGTTAATGACATTATACAATGTATGCCGTAAAAGTCAAATTTGGTTTGAAACTTAAAATAAGATCCTCTGATTGGATAACCACATTTTATTGTATATATAAACAGAGTATAAGTTTGAAATAGAATTGTCTGGGTAATAAATTCTATTGTTTTTCTACCTTTCCTATATATTTCATTTGTAAGCAATATTTAAGCAGATGTTTTATGATGTAGGTTTATACAACAATGTCACAGGTCTTGTTTTTAACTATTTCTCGAACTAGATACATTTGTATTTACAATTCGATTACACAAGTCATACCAAAATAAAATAAATCGGAATCTTTTGATACTGAAAATAACTATAACAACAAAATTCAATTAATTTCTTGTTTATGTAAGCAATGAATATATTTCGTTTACTTTCTTTTCAGTACTTGTTTTTCAAAGGAATCTAATAGTTTTAAGGTTTATCTGCATCTAAGGTTTTAAATATGATATTCAATCGTTTAAATTTGATTTTAAAATTTAAGACGATCGCAGTAATAATTTAAAATCAAGATGTGTTTACTTTCAACATTTTATAAACATACTTGTTATTAATCGCAAATCACTACAGACAAAAAAACTCAAATGGTAATTGTGCGATGGACTTGGTAGATAATATAATTAATCAACTAGAACTTCACAAATAGTGATGTTTGGTGAATAGGATTATTGCATTAAAACAATTAAATAAGATAATTATTTTATCATTTAGTAAGATAGAACAACGTAAAATTAGATAGCTTTAACGAAATGATAGGTATCATATTTAATGGAACTGAATGTGAGATTTTTTGTATCATACGACACTGACTTTAAACAATATTATCAATACAAACACTAACCCTTTTATTTCATCCCATGGCTAATATCACATCCTGTTGATATCGCTAGAAATACGGAGCTTAATTCACTTAGCTAATACGAAGAATAAAAACTTTATGTGACAGTGTTGGGCAACGGAATACCAAAGCAGTTACATTGTACTAGAATATGATGAACAATGATTCGGCGGTTACATAAGTCCTATTCTCATAACAATAAAATATCTAACCATAGAAATACTGACTTCAATATATGATAAAAAAATGTTTAGCTTGTAAAATTAAATTTGAAAAAAAACCAAAAAAACCAAAAAAAACACCCATATCATTAAAATGTGTATTGCGATTTAATAACGATCTTTATTCGTTAGTTATAGCCATATATTAACAAGTCATTTATTGATTAGGTTCCTTTTCTACACGTAGCATCAGCTCATCAGTTGATTAGTGAGTTGTAAAATCTATTCTCCCCTGCACTTAGCGATGCAAGTAGCTTAATAAAATTTAGAGTATAATGCATTTTTCTTAAATGATGTCAAATAAGCTACATATAAAACAGTAATTTTAAGGATATCAGGTTAGCAATCATTTAAGCAATAACAATAAAGATATCAATTAACGGTTGATATTTTGACATATATTCAACCTATCAAATACTATCCTTTACCTTGAAAAAACAATATTAGTAAGGCATTGATTGTGACGTGACAATCAAAGAGTTTGCAAATATATTTAGCAGAATATTCAATGTATCTTTATAAATGTTAATGCTGGTGTATTCACATTAGTAGGCTGTTAGTTGACAGTTTCACCCCAGTTTGCTAGCAGGTGTGACTCCTGACATCGGAACACAGCGTTTTACAATATTTCATAGATGTTGCTTATTTAAGGGCAATTCTTGTTAAAATGATCGATCGTCCAAGTCTAAGTAATTGATATGAAACGTAAAATAGAAATAAAGAAAAAGAGCATCCGAGGAAATCAATTCGGGAAGTCATTGCTTAGAAAATATCCATTTGTATCACATAATGTGCTGTGTTATCCGGTGAATAAACCATTTCGTATCTTTTGTTTGCGTATTAACCAATGTCATATGACCTATCAGCCCTGCGATTGGTTGTAAGTTTCAATTGTTTCAATTGTGACGTCACGCCTAGGACAAGTACATAACGTCACAGACTTAGGCACTGGAGTCAAAATTAAATGCCACAGATCTTGATTATGTGATAAAAAGGATCTTACATTCGTTTTCATTTCATATGCCAAATGCTCGCTAAATTGAAAATTTCTTAGACTCGTTTCATAAACCTCATATGAAATGGAAACTCATGTAAGATCCTATATATTCGAAGGTACACTAGTTTTCACTTCAATACAAATATGTAAACAAACAATATATTCTTAATAATTATATTGCTTATGAATATTTATATAGTATCTTCTTTTTCAAATGTCATTTTCTGAATATTTGTAATTACTTATTTCTGTTAATATGTATCTAAAATACAACAGTAAGTAAAGTATATTGAGAGTGTCACCTAAACGCGTACCTGGTACATCAATAGCCATAACATTATCTTACCAGGGCGTAGAAGGCTGAGGGTTCGATTCCAGCACCTGGAATGTTCATAGCCGCCTGGGCGTATACACTCTCGGGTAGACCAGCCATACGCGACAGGTAAGGTATCGCTGCACCAACGGGCATGCCTTCCCCGGGTAAAATGCCACGCCCCTCTGCTGAAATTAGGCCACGCCCACCGTCAACCACCCCTGGAGAGGACTGACTGCCACTTGTCTTTGTCGTTAACATCAACTAGAAATACAAACGTAATATAAAGTGTCATATTTTGTTGTCATTGCTACTTACTATTAGTTATTAGCAAACAGCAACTTAAAAATGCAGAAACGTTATCACACATTGTAGACCAACTGATTTGCAAGAATATATAACCAATCTACATATAATTAAGAATGTAAACTGTCCTGAAGTCAATGTGAAAAATCCATGTCAATTGTATGCAATATTAGCATTCTTTGTAAATTATGCAATTTCATACAAAGAGAACATTTTTACACATTGATCATCAATATTGCTGTCACTTCTTGATAACAAAAACCTACCAAACAGCAGGTAGAATTAACATGTTTATCATAGCCAGGTGTCGTGTGTATAGAAAACATCAGCGAAACATGTTACCATTACATATAAAAACGCTGAATGAATTACTACTATACGTTTATATAAAACAGACATCCTTAACACATGTTATTGATACAGCTATTGTTCATAACAGGTAAGTGCAACAGATGTGAACATGCAACAATAAATACTGTTTTGTATGATGTTTAACAAATTCTGATTGACAGATACCAGTAATTATCACTACGACAAATGATATGTGTTGCAGTATAACAAATAGAAGGGCGTCATCACCCAAGAATAAAATCCGACACTAAGTCGATAGAAAGAGACAACAACACGATATAAGTAAAGACCAATTTGAGAAAAAATAGCGAGAGGAAATGAGGAGAGATAAAATCAAAAGGAAGGACAACAGGAACTGAGGAGGTACCACATCAAAAGAAAGGTAACATCAGAAAATGAGGAGATATCAAAACGTAGAAAAGGGAACAAGAGGAAATGAGGAGATATCAAAACAAGGAAAGGTAACAGGAGGAAATGAGGAGATATCAAAACAAGGAAAGGTAACAAGAGGAAATGAGGAGATAGCAAAACAAGGAAAGGTAACAAGAGGAAATGAGGAGATATCAAAACGTAGAAAAGGTAACAAGAGGAAATGAGGAGAGATAAAATCAAAAGAAAAGGTAACAAGAGGAAATGAGGACATATCAAAACAAGGAAAGGTAACAAGAGAATATGAAGAGATATCAAAACGTAGAAAAGGTAACAAGAGGAAATGAGGAGAGATAAAATCAAAGGAAAGGTAACAAGAGGAAATGAGGAGATACCACATCAAAAGAAATGTAACATGAGGAAATGAGGAGATATCAAAACGTAGAAAAGGTAACAAGAGGAAATAAGGAGATATCAAAACAAGGAAAGGTAACAAGAGAATATGAGGAGATATCAAAACGTAGAATGTGTAACAAGAGTAAATGAGGAGATATCAAAACGTAGAAAAGGTAACATGAGGAAATGAGGAGATATCAAAACGTAGAAAAGGTAACAAGAGAATATGAAGAGATATCAAAACGTAGAAAAGGTAACAAGAGGAAATGAGGAGATATCAAAACAAGGAAAGGTAACAAGAGGAAATGAGGAGATATCAAAACAAGGAAAGGTAACAAGAGAATATGAGGAGATATCAAAACGTAGAAAAGGTAACAAGAGGAAATGAGGAGATATAAAACAAGTAAAGGTAACAAGAGGAAATGAGGAGATATCAAAACGTAGAAAAGGTAACAAGAGGAAATGAGGAGAGATAAAATCAAAAGGAAAGACAACAGGAACTGAGGAGATACCACATCAAAAGAAAAGTAGCATGAGGAAATGAGGAGATTTCAAAACGTAGAAAAGGTAACAAGAGGAAATAAGGAGAGATAAAATCAAAGGAAAGGTAACAAGAGGAAATGAGGAGATATCAAAACAAGGAAAGGTAACAAGAGAATATGAGGAGATATCAAAACGTAGAAAAGGTAACAAGAGTAAATGAGGAGATATCAAATCAAAGGAAAGGTAACTAGAGGAAATGAGGAGATATCAAATCAAAAAGAAAGTCAACGACAGAAACTGATAAAAACTCAAATCAAAAGGAACGACAACAATAGAAACTGGGGAGTGATAAAATCAAGATAAAAGAAAACAAGAGGAACTGAGGAATATTAAATCAAGACGAATTGCGACAAGAGGATTTAAGGAAAAGTCAAATCAAATAGAAAGGCAACAATAGAAGATCAAAACAAAAGGGAAAACAACAACAAGAACTGAGGAAAGGTCATAACTAAAGACAGACATCAAGAACCTACGATAAAAAGAGGCAAAACAATATGCGTGAATACAAATATGAACTATTAGCTGTTCCAAGCTATGTGTGACCTTCGATGTCATTATTTTCGTACGGATATATATTGAAATACTTTGATCGGCAAAAATAGTGTTGTTGATAATTTAATATCATAATTAAAGCGGTATTCCGTTTATTTTAAAAATATTAAATATCTGTTTTGTAATTCCCATACCTGTATCACATCTAATCTTAAATTAATGTATTCGCCATATAAATGGCGTCGATTAACTACAAGAAATACCATATATAAGTCATTTCAGTCAGGGTTTTTTTAAGTGATAGCCAGATCGTATTTCTTTCGCAACTTAGTTCATATATACTTCGTTTAATATTGAACAGATGAAAATCAATCATTGTCTCTATGAATAAAACGACAAATGAATGAGTATTATAGCTTATTATCATATCCATTTCAGGACTACTTCATGTACCTTGTACACCCTATATCCGTCTCATTAACAACAGACGAGGTCTCTGCATGTCCATAGGTTTTTGTTTTTCATTTGTCAATAATAACTAAAACACGATATCAGGAAACACCTGGTGAGAAATATAATAATCTGATGCAGAATTCAAAAGAAAATAAATAAATAAAAAAATAAAAAAATATTGCACCAAATGACCATTTTATCAATAAAGGTATCACCAGTGTATACCTCAGGTCAAAAGAAGAAGTAACCACATCCAAAGTGCCCTAAACACATGTAGAAATACAGCAAAATTGGAAAGAGCCTTTAAAACCCGCATTAACGAGAACTTTAACATTACCGAGACTATTGAGTCAATCGTAGAATGTGCTACTCAGTGTTTATCTATCACGCCAACATTACGAATATCGAGTTTGAACAATCTCCTAAATCGCTATTTGTACGAGGTTTAAAATACCACCAAGAGATAACATAACTATCAGTTAAAATATCTAAGTACTGAAACATTTTTATTGGATATTAAAATTCAAATGGAATAGCAAAAAAGAAACTATTTTATAAGTGCCGTTCACTCCCATTGGTCGTCTCCGCTACAAGCATTATGACAATTAGCCGCTCAACATACTGACAAGGACTTTTTTAATGTAGTTCTATTTGTAGTCCATAAATGAAATCTGTTGTTAGCGCTATACCCAGACCAATGTATACTGATCTGATATTACTATTATATGGAAGACCTTTTGCTATAAAACACCGATAGAAAAAGATGACGTATCTATCAGTCCGATTAATTTCCTCATTACGTAGGAATCTAGCAAAGTTTTTACCACGATCTGCCCATATTTTTACCACGATCGCTTAGCTGACTGGCTGTAGTTAATACAATTTATTGACAATGATGAGTTGCACAAATTATTTATAATATCTCGCATATATATCTTTAGCTGAAGGTTTACGTTATCAAATATATCCATTAAAACCCATTTAAATTGCCAAGAAGCATCTTATTTAAATGATTTTGTAAGGATGTAAACATGAGAGGCGACAATGCCGTGATTTACATCTGTCCATTGGGGCCTACATTAATATCATACCCGTTCAGATGTACGTCAGTTTAAAGAACAGTAGTCTTCGTGCATTTAAGTGTCAGCTTTTATCAGCCATGATTTCCCTATCACTTAGGTTCTGTTATACAGACTCTGTCGTCGTAGATCATCTCCATTAGCGAACACCACTTAACAAATCTTCATAAAAATATTTAATTTCATTTCTAACGAAACGGTGTCTAAGTACAGTGTGACCGGGTGCCACTGCATAAATACATCTACACAGGGTAGGTATCCGGACTATTATAAACGGTACAAACGTGTAAATTATTTGTCATATTATTTAAGGTATCTTGATCATAACCGTATGAAACATTACATATACGAACAACATGATATTTTGAATAACAATGCAGAATTAATTAAAATGTATTATCGTGTTGCTAAATAAAGTTACACAGGCATATATAAGGCTGCACTAAATATAACTGAATACAGGTATGGATTTAGAGTGACCACTACAGCTAGTTATAAGTTATTGTTCACCCAACACGATATGCTCTTGTAACACGTAGGGTATACCTTATCCATTATTGCGATCGGGTACATCATTCCAGCTGCCAGGAATGGTGCAGAAAAACTTTGCAATTCTTATCAGTGTCCATAACCTCTCAAAATCATGCTTTCTTCCCTTCGACTTCAATATTGGCGTGTGATATCTAAATTACTATGTTCATAGTTCAAACAGCACTCAATACCTTACAAAGGTTTGAGATACGTTGTTATCCTTACTGTGATTTCTAAGAAATGATGAATAACCCAATTTTCTATAAATGAAAGCATAGAAATGATTGGGAATAGAATTATTTTTCCTAGAAATTGTATACATAATCCATCGTGAAAAAGAACTCATCAATTATTGTATCGATAACATCATGCATACGTATTGCTACCATATTTTATTTACCACCAATTTATTTGTTATAAAGTTATTGTTTTGTTTTCTTTATCCTTTTTTTGTATTTGTTTATTATAATTTTTCTTTTAAATCTTATTCATACAAATAAATATAACTCACATGTCGTATATGAAAAAAATATATAAATCGAGAAAAACTGTATAAAATAGTGAGCTGTCAGTTAAAGTATGTTTTAAAACACAATGCTTAGTAACTAAGTAAATGAGATATAATTGTATACTGGTAGTTGGCATGTACTAAACTGATGTATTCAAACTATACAAAAATGACGTGATGTCGGTTTATCAAAATATTTAATGTTCCAAACGACACACTTCCATACTTTAAAAAAACCGATATTGCTGCTAGAATGCCTTGTTGCCAATCTACCCCACAGTGTATGTATAACAACACGGCATGACCGATTGATGTACTTTAGGACTTTAGGGACTGTCGTATTTGATATCATCCTATAATTGTACAGCTGTATTCCTATTTTGAAAGAAGGGAAATTATTCCTATTTTGATATTAGTTATGAACTGGTAGATAAGTCTCTGCCGCTTTAGAAATTTAGAAATTAGATAGAAAAATACACATATACAACATCACAACAACAGGAGAAAAATAAAATCCAGGTGAAATTAAAATACAATTGCAGGAACTGAGGAACCATTGAAACAAAAAAGAGATACCTCAACGTCGTGAGCCCCACAAAAATCGGAGTGGTACCGTGTGTACGCACCTTCCTCTGTATCACACTGTGACACTCATAATGATACACGATATTAGAAATGCTGACGACAAGGAGATACATATGTATAAAATGTACAGTTCCCATGGTGATCGCCTGTTATTTTTACACAGAAAAAAAGTTATACAGATATCGGTCAATGGATTTTATCATTTACCTTTTAATTTGAAAACTATATATCAAACACTGTATAAGTGTACATATGTATATGGTAAATCAGACAATGTATTTATGTTGTTTACCAGATACAATATAAGTATTATACGGTGACACATGACGGTTTATGCACAATTGATATATCACTTTAAGAGACTTTTCAATTACAGTTTATTGCTTGTTGATTAATCAATAACTATGGTGTCTGTTTATTAACATTGTTAATCAAATATAAATCAACATTTGTAATATCTTTTTTCAGATATATCCCTTTAAAAACTACATTTAACATTTATAGGCAAGTGAATAATTACTATATGGTGTACGTGCGTTGCATCGGTTTCAATCAAATTACAAAGTGATTCACGTCATACTGATATCTAGCACCAATATCTGTTGAATCACATATCAAAATCGGTATATAGCTTGTATAATCGATATCAAAACCTGTTCAGACTCAGCTTTTACCGACATCAAGTATGTTCATCCGTAAGGATTGCTTACATCGTAATCAATAGACATGTATACGTCACAGCAGTTTCTGATGGCTGATTGATTTTATTAATTTAGTTAGTTTGTTTGTTATATATATATTTGTTAATTTTTATTGTCAACTCTCTGTTTGTTGTTGTTGTTGTTGTCTAATTGTTTGTTTGTTTGTTGTTTTTTTTTTTTTTTTTTTTTTTTTTTTTTTTTTTTTTTTTTTAATTTTCTTTGGAGTTGATAATAAATTCTAACGTAATTTGGGGGTTCAGAATTACCATTATAAGAGAGTACCGGGGTCAGTACTAAATGTGTCCCTCCCGCAGGAAGGATTTTGTATTCAGACTGATATATCCTCATTTCATTTTTAATTTCCAGTTACCCTTTCTTTATCCTTCTTTTTGTACTCCCTTTTAAATGTATTAGATTAACTTCCAATGGTTCAAAATACTGTTAAAAGATTATCAATTAAAAAAAAACATTTTCAGAAAAGAAAGAAATATTCCATGTTAGACAGGTGCGTGCAATTCATATCAACAATAAGTACGTTGATTTATGTGAAATATTGCGGTTATTTATGCATGAATATATTTTAAAAATACACCGGCTGAGTTATGTGGATTGTTGGGGTAAATGATGCATTTTAGATAGTTTTATTACGTGAATTGATAAGCCGGGTGATTCTTTGTAAATGTATTACTATGTAAAACGTTACGCTAAGTGATACAGTTAAAAATATAACAATTATTACATTAATTGGTGTGAATCATTTTGTCGAGGGATATGTTCGTAAACATTATTAAGTATTTGCATCAGCTGAATTATAGAAAAACATTACGTATGAGGGTTTTCTTTCATGTCAGAATATCAACTGCTACCAGATTAATTGTCCAATACAGCTATCAACGACAATGATAGAAAACCCCGCAGATCGAAACTATTACAGAGGTGCTGTAAGGTGTATGTGGTTAAGACAATACCAGGAAAATCGCAGATAGAAACATATTGCAACTGTTTGTGAAGTGTGTATCAAGCGAAGAAAATGCCACAGAAACATTAAATTTTATATCTACAAAGAACAATACCAAAGAATTTCTCAAATAGAAACAAGTTACAGTCATTCATAAACAGTGGAAGACTTTTTCAACATCTTTTCAAAGGCATTCAGTATAAAAAAAAAACATACTAAAACGATCTTTAGCTTTATTTCCTTCAAAAGTAAGCAGGTTGCTCCCATTGGTCCTATGGATTATGTTTTAATGTACCTTTAGGGTACGAATACACCAAAGGTTGTAAACTCGTGGAATTATTCTTACACCACCACCGTGTAGTACATGCTCTCTTCCAAATTGACGTGTGCTTAAATGTTATCACTAGTGCAGCCTAATCGTTATGCCATTGAGAGGAATAAGTAAGAGTAGAAATAATTTGGATTCGTCTGCTCTTCATTGTCATCTACTTTGTAATCTGAATTGATCCTACAAAAACATCCAAATCATTAAAATATATGTAATTCAAATGTTGAGCCAAATATATGCGCCTGGCTACTTATCCAGATCAATCCCTGTGTAAGGTTACAGTGATACATATTACAATTGCTTCAGGACGATTGGCATATCCTTCTTTGTGTGGATCATTCAAAAGGTCTTCAGCTTAATTTGTGCTATTTCTTACATTTAACGATTCAATGCATGGAGATTTTTGTTTTTAAAAATGTGTCGTAATTGAAATATCTACAATATTGTAATTAGCATTTTGAGCATAATTTATTTTCGACAAAAAAAATATACGTATTTGGTTTCTTGAAAAGAAGATAATTCACCGGTTTCCGTTAAGAGGTAACAATTGACGATTATGTAACGAGAAGTAGAAAAGAAACAGACAGGATACCGATAATACGTATTTCCACAACTCTAAATGCGTTGCATGTGTGATAACTATTACAATTATTAATTCCCTTAAGTATTTCAGCATATTTGAATTTTCAAATATAGATATTGATTACTATCTGATCACTTAAATTAGTTAAATTAAATAAATCCCATTTATTTTAATATGTACTACACAGTAAGTCTTCAAATGTGTTGATAGTTAACCAGACAATAAACAAATTATTGTTTTCGCATTAGTGATATAATTTGGATATACTTTATGAAAACAGGAAAATGTTATATTTATAAATTCTTATCTTTGACTTACTGCGATGGGATGTTGATTCGGTATACTTACGTTATTAATTACATTGCTTGATAAATATTAAGGAAACACGTTCTACATATATTGTATGTGTTTTATATATTTTCAAGAAATCCTTCAGCGTCCTAGAAAGGTGAATATTTTAGAATGTGGTACACTTCTCCGAGTTTCTGCGTTTCTTCCCTGGTATACATATATGCATATGATAAGGAGAATAACATTTACGTAATAACTGGTTTATTGTTATGTATTTTGTGATGTGGTATTGTTTTTTGCTGAGTGTTAATCTCTGTTTTTTATATCATATGTTGTGATATGTTATTGTCCCTTTTTCTGTCCTATTAAAGGGCCAATTGCCTGGAACAGTCGCTATTACTTCTTTGCTTATATCTGCATATAATATAGATTTACATGTACAACACAAGACCATTACGACACGAGGTTTAAACAAATTTCAAATTTGTAGTATGTTAACTCGGTTATCACAGTAAATGATATTGATGTCTACAATAATGTAGACTGATACACCGTAAAATATCTTATCGGACAAAGTCAGTTCACTATGTCTATCTCACTGCGATTTACTTCCCCAAGTCAGTGACTACCTTCGTTTCATATAATAGAACAAAATTCTCGCAAAATCTACCTCAAACTGTGTTGAATAAATGTATCTAAAGTAAGCAACTGGGTAGATATACCCACAACACATAGAAAATCAAAGCGCATTGATTTATACTTATATGTATCTCACTAACCAATTTGATACCTTTCTCTACACATGCAATCCGAAAGGTATCACATTAAATACCCAGTGTTTTCTATTCTTCTTTGATTGTTTTATTGTCGTTAAATTAAGAATTGATTAACATTGACTCCTTATTTTGTTATTTATTTGTCTGATGACGGACCAGTATCTGAAATTGTGAGCAACATGACAATTCATTTACTCTCTTTTTTATCAATCGTCTATCGGAATAACGTTGATAGGCTTTCTATACCCATCTATTAGAATGAAGGTTAAAGCTAAGAATAAGAAGTAGAAATTGAGAGAAAGTGCTATATACTGTTTATGTATATGAGTCAGGGGGAAGTTTTTCTACCTGGGTATAATACCACTGAATATCGGGATGTTACTGACGAACAGACGACACTTCACGACACAGATAGATACGGTAGCTATATAAACATCAAGGCGATGATAACACGCTCCAGGTGAGGAGATACAAAGTAGAAATGCAGAGGATGCTGACTTACCTGTTGCGCTTGTAGACCCCCGGATGTTGGAGGCGAGAAACCAAAATGGGCAGCAAACGCCATGGTAAGTATAAAGCCACGGACCGAGGTACAGCGTCTATAGATGTTGAAGAGAAACCAGGTATAGTCAGTGACAAGACTAACGACTTGCTTGTTTGTATTCTAATAGCTCACACGTCTACACCTTCACCAAACAGAAGGTGTCAAAACTTGGAGGGGAGGGGCACGGTTCTTCACACCAGACCACCACCAGCCGCCGGCGCATTGGTCCCCGTCAATGACGCCGCGCCTACTGACAGACTCGCTCCGCCCTTTTATGGTCGGTAGGCCGGGTACAGTAGCGCCTAGACTCCGCCCACGTGTCCTTTGACGGGTACATGTTACACTTAATGCTCTCACATGAACGGACCTATACTGCCATGTGGTTTTAGAGCATAAACACTTTTGTTTAAATATAAATTAGATATTGACATAATATTAATTAATTCAGTTGTATGACTGGATGATAGTAAACCAGACAACGTGGATTGTATTGCTAACCAATTCAATTGCGATCAGCGCCAGACTGCCCGGGGCGGTTGGCGTCAGAGCCGACTACAGTGGCTACAATAGCCGGGTGACAAGGCCATAAAGAGGATCGCTTATCTTATCTATTACTGCATGTATTTACTAGGGGATTTCTACCTGTGTTAATGTTATTGACCAAAAGTGACCATTAGATTAGATGACAAAGCCGGTTATATGCCCAATAACGGGGATGTACGAACGTCAGGGTGGGACATCATTGTAGTGATCTGCCTCGCGTAATTACTCATAACACACACACAAAACAGTATTGACCACACCGTGAAAGGACCTGCCGTCTCGCGCCGTAATATGCAGTATAAGTGTCACGTTGTCACCGATGCCGATAATAACGTCAGGAGGACAAACTTTGCGGACTTTCCCTCATTTATCATCCCCATTATCACTATCGATCTGTGGACGATTTCTGTTGTCCTCACCTATTTCACGGGTCGATTAGTGTGTAATACGTCTTTAAACGAGGACAACCCTTATCCGTCCCATCTTTAACAATGAAAACATATTTAGACAAGGCTGTATATATATATATCTCATCAATATAGCATGATCATTATTCATCTTTTATTAAGTGTTATGAATAAAACAAACGAAGAATAAATATTTTCGTTATCAATGGAGGTGAACGTTGACAAGTTGCTGATCAATACTATGACATGTACAACCAGTGCTCGTTATTCAGTAAATTAATAGATCGTTCCGATTTCCTTATCTACGAGTACAATTCTACAATATGATTAATGTATCTTCTCATTTCCGGTTCCGGTTTGTGTGTGTACTGATTCATAATGTGTAAGTGCAGAAACAAATAGTGGGCTTATAATCAGCACTTCTTTGTATATATTGCATAATCTAAAAACCTTGAAGACTGCATGGCGCCAATCTATTTGCTGGTATAAAGGTGGGTTTATTTTGTGGTTTTTTTTTTACATTAATCTTCAAACGGGTACATTCTTATTACAACACTTCAGGAATGTCCTTATTTTATTTATGGCGTTTCTTAATAATTCCACTCAATATATGTTTTTTTCACATTTTGTTGTTAGATCATGTCCGAAAAGAACAAAGTTTGAAAGTTTCCAGTCGCGTATTTACAAAAAAAACCCACTGAACTAACCAGAAAAATGTATGTCATGATCAACAATCATAAGGAAAGCAATTCCATAGCAGCTGATTAATGGCTCAATTTTACAATTTGAAAATAAAGGTTACAATGTTCTCGTTAAGTCACAGATTACATTTTATAAAGGGAGATAATTAGTCTCTCATACAATTGCATAAAATGTCCATGGCAAGATAAACCAAAACGGTTGATATAATATTTTGAATGTATTCTTTAGTTAACATTTATAATATAATAACAAAAATTCCTGGCCATAATCGAGCCGTTTCACCAAAAATGCTTTTTAGACAGTTCAATTATTAAACACCTCTGGTTATTATACATGTGAGTGTATCAAGTATAGACTTGTTAACGTAGTATGTGGTTATATGAAACTCAGAAAGATAAATTAGACGAGATGAAGTCGAGGTCAATATAACTTTTCGGGTTCATATAACCACATATGTACCGAAATAAAAATCCTTAACGGTTATAATAAATCTGAAATCATGCTGATATCATTACTGAACAAGACGTAACTGCGTTCGGCAGAGAGCATGTTAACGGTACAATTTAAATATTAACCTGCTTTGCTAAAAATAGTAACACCAAGGTAATTTCACATATCACCGACGTCCCTCCACGTGATTATGGTCCATCCAATAAGGATAGAGGAGTACATTTTGTAATGTAATATTATGTAACAGTCGCTGATGCCCAAATTGTTCTGCAACGTTATCATACATGTTTGACAAGAATTGGTGTTAAATTATGATATAAAATAGTGTACAAGTTATATATATATACTAGTCATAAATATATAGTTAAAGTGACGTTTTCAATCATCAAAGGCTACGCAGAAAAATCTGAAAGAAAATCACAAAATATAAAAATTCTGGTGAGTTATGTTTCCAAAACATTTTTTTAATGCCTAGAAAGTATAAACCACATTAATACAAATATATATCCGAGAAGGTTTTGAAAAATGAATATGTCTAAAACGTTTTCGGAATATCAACATTTTATTCATTCATTAGAATTAGGGAACCTATTTTTAAGCGATACAAATCCATTCTTATTGTATTTCTTTTTGTGTCGGACCTGATGTTTTAATATTAAAGAAACTCTGAAAAAATAATCAAATAGGTGTGATTTATCGCTCATACCTATTTTGGAAATTATCTTAATATGATATAATATCATTCAAATCCGTGAGATTTTTTTTTATTAATTATCGAAGATTTTATCCGTGGTAAAAGAAACGATTTCGTTATGATGAAATGCAATCATTAACACAGAAAATACTACATGTTAAGAGATTCTCCAGGAACCATAAATCAATAGCTCTATACGATAGTGCTATTTGATATGACAGGACAATTGCATGTACAACAGAAACACAAGTCCCTTATTAATTATCTTTAAAAATAATAATTGTGGACATCAATGTGAGAATGATTTGAAAATGTGAAAATAAAAGCCGTCTTTGGTGCAAACTTGATTTCAATCATTTGAATGTTGAGTGTTTTATTTGGAACTATTTATGTTCGAAAGAAATAGTACCGTGGATCACTTCATAAATACTTTTAGGCATTTCCAAAACATCGTCAAGCCCAGCAATTCAATTTGCTTCCGAAATAAATTTAATTCAATTATTTGTATATTTTCGTTGTTTATTACTGTAAACATTATTCGGGAAACGTGTTAATTGATATATGTGCAATTCTTGTTTTCTGCGTTTGGCAATTACTATGTTTAGTCTAATGTAAACGTTTCTCCTACTAGCGTCTTGTTTTATAACAACTTAATATATCTGTAAAATGTGTATAAATCTTAATACGAAACAACTAGAGAAAATCGTTGTCCAATATATGTACTGTGATCGTATGCTATTTTCAAGGCGAAGTAAATGTGTTATTTAACGTAGCCCATCAGATAGAAATTCACTTACTCGATACTTAACATTGTGACTTTACAGTTCGTAAGTCAAAATGATTTAGTGAAATACAATATGTATGTCTATGTGTTACACTTTTCCCATGAAACAGCCACTTCCCAAAGAATGTACCTATACGACAAGACAGAAATACATACGACAGCAAAACATGTCAATGCCCAGTTAGTTCACATTATTACATACAACTGATAAACAGATATCTACTGAATCTTTATGTTCTCTCCAGTGCAAAATGATTTTACATTTTAATAAAGTGGCGTACATTCCGTTCCGTTAGGATGGCATTACTGATACCGTACTGTGGTGGGCCCAAACAAACCGTCTATATGCGACAGATCACGGTTACGGATTTTCACCGTCTTTACGACCCAGATGAACGTTGATGCCACCGATACAGATTACGCCCGGTGAGCACACGTCTATTCGACACAGGTCACTGCTCAGTGAAGAGGGTCGTTACTTATTTAAGCGTCCTTATGCTAAAGATGAGGGATGGTGGACACCGTTACTTATAATAGCGTCTATACAGCTCAGATCGATTCGGAAAAGTAGCATAAACTGCCACAAAGTGCTCACGTGACTGTCAGAGGACAATCTCTGGTATAACAGCGACAAGGATAACAGATGATGATCGCTTTTGCTTATAACAGTGTTTAAGAGGTACAGATCACGGGTGTGTAGAACCGCGTCTATAAGATGCAAACCGTTACCGAAGAGTACCCTTAGGTATCATAACGTCTTTAACTGTTTGGGGAGCATCGCTTTTATTACAGCCATGCAGATGACAAATGATGACCATCGTTGCATCGAATGTATTACAGCGTCTTCACCACGCATGACAGTTGCTACAAGCAACGTTACTATTTACTGCGTTTACTGCGACATAGATCACGGATGCTGTCCCGATGAACACCATTTCCTATCATAGCGTCTACACGGTAACAGAACACGGCTGCGTGTCACCGTTGCGTGTCTCTGTTGCAGCGCCTTTGCGGTGCAGATGTAGACTAAGAAGCCCCGTAAGCTACCACATCGTCTGCACCAACTACACAGAGTGTCTTGCTTATAGTGTCCATACGATATACAGATCACAGTTAAGATACCTCGTTACTTATCACCCAATCTAAATGACGCGTTCCCATAAACGTTTAAAATACACGGGAGGGGGCGCTCATGACGTATAGACCCAGGTGTGTATTATCTACAGCGTTTTAATGTACGTCTTACAGAATACAAACTCCATTAGATGTGCCATCAATATCGACTACTCAATTATGTATCGTATAAACAGCCCGATCTGTTTGTCCTCGCTATAGTGTAATGTATTTAATCAGTCACTTACCATAACATGTTTTACAGTTATATTGTAATGATCGCCCCGCTTATATATACGGATACGTTCCTGTTTGGTGTCGCCATCAATCATGTTTACTTAGTAAATAAAAATGTTCACAAAAACCGTCTAACTCCACACAATAGCTCCATATTCATGATTTAATTTTCACACGAACATCCATTTAAATGTAAAACCAGAAGGTTGTTTGTTGGGACAATCCATTTGCATGTATAAAGA